TCCGCCATATTCTCCAATATTCATTCGATATATTTTATTCCTCGTCACATTCCTCGAAAGAACTAAATTTAAATGAAGTTATGAAAAAAAGGGGCAGAAGTTTTTTTAGAAATGCTAAAAATGTGATTTCTCAAAAAAAAAAAAGAAAGAAAGAAAAAAAATCAATATTGTTCGAATTAACCCCACCATCACTGTCAGCAGGACAACATGTCTGTGTTCTGTGAACTTTTGTAGATAAAATTATTTTCTCGACCTAGAGTGTAATATAAAAATAAAAAAACTGTTTTATAACATCAGATCGATTTAAATCGAATAGAAATTCGATTTAATTAGGGGAATAGTTCAAAAATATTTCTGAGACTTCAAGTGTTCCATATAAGCTTTGTGAATCAATCAAATATAAAACAGCTTTTGGAAATGTTCTTTTATATATAAAAGTTTCCTGACACTAGGAGGATAACCATAAGACGTCCAATGGTTTATCAACACCAAACAGCATTAAAAACAACGTGTACTACATTTTTTAGTTTAATTTTTATACATTAAGTATATTATCTATATTAAACAATCAGATCTACATTAAAGAATTGTAAAAGAAACCTTTCTGTATAAGATTAAAACTAATAAAATATATTCAAATTAGAGATCAAATAATTGGTTACAATTATTTCTAGCATGTAAAACCAATTCCTAAACAAAAAATCCCCACATTCCTATAAAAAAATTATTGAAGAATTTTGCCATCTCAAAGTAAGTAATATTCTTTAATTATTTTTATAAATTCTAATACATAAATACGAGTTTTAAACACCATTCTTCAAGAAAGGTTTCGTGGCTCGGTGCTAGAGTAACCGGTTCGTATCCGCGGTATCGCGGGTTGAACCCTGGCAGTCGCGAAAAATAAAATTTATTTTATTTTAATTTTATTTACCGCGGCATGACGTCACGATGACGTAGTGATAGAAAATCACTCTTATAAAATTTTTAAGTCCTAAATCAACTCTGCAACTTAAATACAAGTTTTAAGACACATCTTTCAAGAGTAGTTCTCTGGCTCGGTGCTAGAGTCCCCGATTCGTTACCGAGCCCATCTATCATAAGATCGAATCCTCTACTGTCGCGTATTATTATACGCGAATATTAGAATTTAATTTTTTTGTTACTAGTTAAAACTCTATTAAGATTTTTGTTATTTCTCTAACAAATGAAAATTTTTAAAACACTGAGAAGTTCGATTTAAAAAACATAAAAAAAAAAGATAGCTCGTGCCACCTATTCGCACATCATGTTCTCCCGTAACAAAATAAATTTTTCGACAAATTTTTGAAATTTTCTCGAAAATCGAGATTTGTAACAGGATCACATGATGTGCGAGGAAGTGGCACGATTTCGGCAATTTCTAGAAATGAGGTTTCTCGGAAATTTGGAAATTCTTGGAAATGAGGTCATTAAGGTCGAAAATTCTCGGAAATTGACCTCATTTCCAAGAATTTCCGAGTTTTTGAAAAACCTCATTTCCAAGAATCGCCGAAATCGTGCCACTTCCTCGCACATCATGTGATCCTGTTACAAAATAAATGTTTCAACAAATTTTCGAAATTTTTCTCGAAAAATTCAGATTCTTAACAGGATCACATGATGTGCGAGGAGGTGGCACGCGCTATCTTTTTTTTTCTGTTTTTTAAATCGAACTTTTCAGTTCCAACAACACACCTTCTGGCCATCTCTTACTACTACGTCATTATGACGTATTTAAATAATAGTTACAGGAATATTTTTAGGTGATAAAAATAATTGTAACCAATTGTTTGATCTAATTTAAGTAGATTTTATTAATTTTAATCTTATACAGAAAGGTTTCTTTTACATTTCTTTAATGTAGTTCTGATTTTTAAAGATAGATAATATATACTTAATGTATAACAATTAAACTATAAAACGTAGTACACGTTGTTTTCTTCAAATCACTGTTCGGTGTTGAAAATCCATTGGACGTCTTATGATTATCCTCCTAGTGTTAGGAAACTTTTGAAAGAACCATCAGACATGATGGCAATTTGATATTTTTCCAATCTAATCCAATCGTATGAAGTATACCTGTAACAGTAATGTACAATATACATTGTATATATAAATATATTATATGTTAATAAATGAAATATGTTAATAAAAGAAAAACAGTTTCTTTTACCTCTATAGAAGGTCTGAAAAATACAGTCTTGCATGTGATAGCCTGAAAAATACAGTCTTGCATGTGATAGCCTGAAAAATACAGTCTTGCATGTGATAGCCTGAAAAATACAGTCTTGCATGTGGTGGTCTGAAAAATACTGAGTCTTGCATGTGGTAGGCTTAAAAGTACACAATCTTACATGTGGTGGGCTGAAAACTACAGACTCTAGTATCTTGTGAGCTGAAAAGTACAGATTTTTACATGTGGTGGTCTGAAAAGTACAGAAACTATCATGCAGAGATGTGAAAATGTTTCTCATAATTTCGAAAAGATTTGTTTCATACTTACACGTAACAAATAGATGTAATACTTACACGTAACAAAAATGTACTGTGTTTAATAAGTAAAAATTGTTTACGGGTTAATATACAGCTTGATAATCGCATATCACATACGTCGTTGAAAAAAAGACCGAATAATAATTGAATTTAATGTTATAAATTAATATTCTGGACACAAACATGTAAATCTTAACATTCTCCAATCTTTTATGATGATTACATATATATCATATATATGTATATGCATAAATGAATCGCTGCACATTTACAGTATATATTAAATATACTATAATATCTTAACGACAATATATTATAATACTGTAGTATGTTAAAATGATAATATAACAATACTACAATAGTCAATACTGTAGTAACTAACATTATATTACAGTAATATAGTACCAAAACACTGTAATATGTTAACCCTTAAGTATACTAGACTGTAGTAACTAACATTGTAGTATACTATTACTGCAGTATATTAAAAAATTGTAGTATCGTAGATATATATATATATATATATAAATGAATCACTGCACACACACACACACACACGTTTACAGTATATATTAAATATACTATATCTTAATATAGAAATACAGTAGTATGTTATAATACTGTAGTATGTTAAAATGATAATATAACAATACTATAAAATAATCAATACTGTAGTAACTAACATTATATTACAGTAATATAGTACCAAACACTGTAATATGTTAACCCTTAAGTATACTAGACTGTAGTAACTAGCATTGTAGTATCATAGATTCCTGTAGTATTCTAACATCTTCATAATGATTACATGTATCATAGATATATGCATAAATGAATCACTGCATTTACAGTATATATTAAATATACTATAATAACTTAACGACAATATATTATAATACTGTAGTATGTTAAAATGATAATATAACAATACTACAATAGTCAATACTGTAGTAACTAACATTATATTACAGTACTAAAGTACCAAACACTGTAATATGTTAACCCTTAAGTATACTAGACTGTAGTAACTAACATTGTAGTATACTATTACTGCAGTATATTAAAACATTGTAGTATCGTAGAGTCCTGTAGTATTCTAACATCGTAGTAAGCAACATTATCACTGTAATATACTAGTACCAAAGTATGCTAACACTGTAGTATACATATAGCATGTATACATGCTATAGTATTCTATAGATACTTTATACACCGTATATGTGCAGTGATACATTTATGCTTCTTGCAGGAGCGAGTGCAAAGTAAAGTCGATGACGTAACGCGTAAGCCATATAACGTTGAATGCACGATGTGCATCCCAGTCAAAGAAATATTATACATGCACGCATAACTCGAGAAAAAAATCCGGAAAAAAAAAAATTAAAAAATAAACGCAAATTGCACGTGCGAATGAATATGACTCATCGAGAACGTAATCTGTATGCCATCTTTCAAGCCACGCACGTTGAATATATATATATATATATATTCATACGTCATTATTCGTGCGTGACATGCAACGAATCGATAGGACATTGAATGATTGAATTTGTTGGGAAAAGAAAAAAATAAAAATAAAAATCGACGAAAATCGAAAAATTCGACGAAATTGAATTTTTCTAAAAAATATGTATACACACACAAATACGTATATGTATACATATGTTTATTTATAGTTGATATTTCTATTGCAACATTGGAACCCTCTCGACTGAAGACTATATATATATATATATATATATTGTGAGTTACTAATAAATTCTCCAAGCAATATTGTGAAGAGAAAGTTCGAAGTTACCCTTTGAAATACCCTATAATCGAGTTAACATAATCGAGTTAGATGAAAATTGACGAAGGAGGCCAATACTACTAGCTTTGGTAAAATCAAATTCAAAGGACTTCACACGAGGAACTAGAGAGAGAAAAAAAAATAGAAAAACAAGAGAGAGAGAGAGAGAGAGAGAAAAAGAAAGATGTCAATACTTGAATGTTGATTGAACTAACGTAATCAATTAAAACGAATTTTGATTTTTTCCTCTATACACCCTACACAAGTTTTATTCAAAAAGATTTCATCTTAATTAGAATAATTGGAATGTTTGTTTAATTGAAAAAATATTCTATTAAATCGTTGAATATATATATATATATATATATATATATATATATATATATATATATATATATATATTGTTAAAGTAACCAGAAAAGTTGAGAAGATAATTTAGAAAGAAAAATGAAAGATAACATTTTATTTGATTATCACATAAATGCATGTACTTTTACTTGATAATCCAATACACATATATATTTTTAATATAATGTACGCAATTATAATAACACTTTGACATTATCATGGTACATCCATTGGAGATGGATAAAAAAAAAAAAGACTAAAGTTCAAATACACCTACGCAAAATACGAAGAATCCCTAGTAGCACAAAATATTGAAAAATATTAAGTACATGTGTTTTTAATATTAAAAAGACATTAAATTTCTTTTATATATATATATATATATATATATAATACATGTGTTAATATATAAATTTTGTATATATAAATAAATATATATTGTAAATTGTATATATAAATATATAAACAAATGTGTAATAAATTTTATATATACATAAATACCATGTATATATAATACCCCATACCACATATATATACCACGTATATACACAATACCATATATATATAATACATGTGTTAATAAATTTTGTATATATAAATATATAACTAAAGGTGGAATAAATTATATATATATATATACCATGTGTTTTTAATATTAAAAAGACATTAAAATCAATATTTTGTGCTACTAGGGATATTTCTCTATTCTTCTCATAAAAGAAAATCCTGACAAAAAAATCATAAAAAAAAAAAAACGAAGGACAACTTTTTGATGATGCTGTTAAAACTATCTTGTCACGAATGACGTCGTTTAATCGTCTTCAAGATTACACTTCAGTTACTCTTCTATTATTTCAAAACAATTTGATATTTTTAAAATATGAGCAATTCCAACTAGAAACACAAATAATTTCTCCATATTGTTGTTTTCATTCTTTATTTCTTTTTATTTTTATTTTTATTTTTGTTTTGTCCTGTTTTGTTCTATTTCACGCTCATTTCTTTCCTTTCTTTTTTTCTCACCAATTTTTTTCTTTTCTTCTTTCACCCATTCATTCATCTTCTTTCTCTCTTGTTTTCATTCACTTTTTGTCTCTCTCTCTCTCTCTCTCTCTCTCTATTTCTTCTCTATTTTTTTTTCTATTTATCTAAATCTTTTGTCACTCATTCATTCGTTTCCAAATAGTCCATCTAAAAGTTGATTTTTCGAAACTCGAATCATTTTTAATGACGAAAAGAGAGAAGGATGAGTTAGAAAAAAAAAACTAGAAAAAGAAAGAAGATATATATATATATATATATCTATGGAAGATAAAAGCATCGTTTTACGCAGAAGCAGAAAGACGCCGACTCCGCAAAGTTGCGTATTTCATCATACATAGGAAAGATTCAAAGGAAGAAATAAAAAAAAAAAAAAAAAAAAATATATGAAAAATGATTCTATGTATTTGAAACGAGGTGAGGAAAGAAGATTCTTAAAGTGTAACTTCAAATGTGTGTGTGTGTGTGTGTGTGTTCTCCCATTTCTAATTAAAACTATACTGCGTTATTAGTTTTTGCTGACGATTGATGTAAATGAAAATTTCTATTTAAATATTTAATTAAACTAACAAAACTATTGAAACGATATATTTTCTTTCTTTTAATTTTGTTCTCACAAAAACTAATATCACTGCATTGTTGATACAGATAACGAGACGACCAATCAAAAATCAATCACTACGACATATAATTTATTTCATCAAACAGATCTGTCAAATTCGATGAATGTTAAAATAACATTGAAATGATTATT